TGGAGCAAAAACACCGCCATTTACTTGAAGTTGCTCGTGCTCTAAAAATTGAAGCTGGCCTTCCCACAAGATTTTGGGGAGAATGCATCTTAACGGCCACCATATATCATAAATAGGTTACCCTCCAAGGTCATTGAAAAGAAAACCCCCTACGAAATCTTGTACGGTCACAAACCAAATTATGATCATATGAGAGTTTTTGGGTGTTTGGCTTATTATCATAGTACCGAAACAAAGGATGATAAGTTCGAAATAAGGGGGAGACCAGGAGTCTTTGTTGGCTATCCTCACGGAACCAAAGGCTACAAAATATACGATCCAAGCCACAATAAAATTATTGTGTCAAGGGACGTAAAATTCGTTGAGAACACATTCCCGTTTGCTTCTAATGCCACGAAAAATGAAAAGGAAAATGAAGACGTCATGGATGTTACTCATGATGTGGAAGAAGAGCATAATGAACAAAATGAAGAATTTGATGCACCTACTGAAGGTGACTCGAATTTACATGGAACTTCCAATAATTTCACCAATAACCAAGGAGAACCATCCGTGCAAGAAGCCAACATTGAAATGCCATTTGAACGCAATGAAGCCAATCACGATGGGGAAATTAATGTTGAAAATATTGGTGTCAACTAAGGCAAAAGAAGCAGATCGAGACCTAAACATTTGCAGGACTATGAAGTCAATCTCCCTCCTTCTCTAGACCACACGCAACCCGCTCCAAGTCAAGAAGAAAGCTCGACGGTATACCCTTTAGCCAACTTTGTTTCTTATGAAAAATTCTCGAACTCTCACAAAGCTTATTTAGCGGCCATCACTTCAAACGATGAGCCCAAAACTTTTAATCAAGCTGTGCATGATGAAAATTGGAGAGATGCCATGCAAAGAGAGATTCGAGCCTTGGAAGAAAATAAAACATGGTCCGTTGAAGACTTACCGAGTGGAAAACAGGCCATTGATTCAAAATGGATTTACAAAATCAAATACAAACCCAATGGTGAGATTGAAAGATACAAAGCAAGGCTTGTCGCAAAGGGCTTCACTCAAATGGAAGGGGTCGATTATCACAACACCTTTGCACCGGTTGCTAAATTGGTAACCGTCAGAACTCTTCTAGCCATAGCCATTAAAAGGGATTGGATCATCCAACAGTTAGACGTCAACAACGCCTTCCTACATGGAGACTTAGACGAAGAAGTCTACATGAAAACACCGGAAGGTTACGAGAAAGGGGGAGCAACCAAAGTGTGCCGGTTAAAGAAGTCTCTTTACGGTTTGAAGCAGGCTTCGAGAAATTGGTATCAAAAACTCACCTTCGTTCTCACCGAGTTACAATTTGAACAATCTCACGCTGATCATTCACTTTTTATATACAAGTGTGACAAAGTGTTCATCGCTACACTTGTATATGTTGACGACCTGATCAATGTGGGAAATGATGCTGCCAAAATCAAAGAAGTGAAGGCCTTGCTTAACGAAAAATTCAGTATCAAAGACCTTGGAAACTTAAAGTATTTTCTTGGGATAGAGGTTACTCGTACCAAGGATGGACTGGTTCTTAATCAAAGGAAATATATCCTCGACATCCTATAAGAAACAAGCATGATTGGATGTCGACCTTGTTTGTTCCCAATGGAACAAAATCTAAAGCTTGATAAAGACAGTGAAGAACCGCGTGTGGATGCTAGCAAGTATCGAAGGCTGGTAGGTAAACTCCTATACCTCCAAGCAATAAGACCCGATCTCACATGCCGTTAATGTTCTAAGCCAATTTGTGTCGGATCCTCGACAAGATCACTTGGATGCAGTCATGAGAGTTTTAAGGTACTTGAAGGCTACAGCAGGAAAAGGCTTGTTATTTCCAAAACAAGAAGGAACAAATCTCGTCACCTACTGTGATGCAGATTGGTTGGGGTGTCCTTTTACCCGAAGATCTCGAACAAGATACATTTTACTCTTGGGAGGAGCTCCCATCTCATGGAAATCAAAGAAAYACTCAGTCGTTTCTCGATCATCAGCWGAGGCAGAATATCGAGCAATGGCTGCAACGGTTAGTGAAATTATATGGATGCGATGGCTCCTAAGCAAACTCGATGTTGAACAAGATGAGCCAACACCTCTTTTCTGTGACAATCAGGCAGCTCGAAACATTGCCAATAACCTCGTCTTCCATGAGCGGACTAAATATGTTGAGATGGATTGCTACTTTGTTAGAGAACGAGTAGAATCTAAAGAAATCGTGCCTCTTCCCATTAACACCAAGATGCAAATTGCTGACCTCTTCACTAAACCCCTAGGCCTTCAACAGTTCGAATCCTTACTTAGCAAGTTGGGCATGCAAAACCTACATGCTCCAACTTGAGGGGGAGTATAGAAATTCTATTGATTCCCTTCCATACTTATCTCTTCCTATTTGTTATCACCAATCCTTGTATATCGGGTGTATATCGGGTTTCCTTTTTTGCCCCCTTGTGTTGTATATTTATACTTCGTTTTGCTTGTAATTCACATTCAAGAATTAATAAAGACTGAAGTCTTTATTAACACGTTTCCTATCTTGGCTAATTCAGTTGTTTGGTTTGGACTTTTTAGTCGATAGGACCAGTGGTGGGGTGCAGAGCACCAGGTGAGTTCTCTTACGTTAGTTTTATAAACTTGTGATCGTTTATGAATGTTTTAAAACACTGAATATGGTTCTTATGCATTGTTATCATAGTTTTGTAAATCACCATTTGTGCCCTTGATGTCATTGGATAATATGTGGCTATGTGGGTTGCATGGATTTGCACAGCGAGCGTAGGGTATCTTGAGATACTAAAATCGTTTGGGAGTGATAATTCGTGTACCTAGAATGCGTTTCTTGTGCACATAGAATGGGAATCTATTGGGGCTTGATTAGTGAATGTCAAGGTGGAGTGTGTATGGCTACACATGTTGTGCAAACCCCTTGTGTGCAGATAATGTGCATACTTCCTAGCATATGGTGCTTTGAATTTTTTTTTTTTTTTTGTTTCACATGTTTTATCTGTTGGAGGTGAAAGTAAAGGAATTCACTAGTGACTAGACCTTTTGGTCTAGCCTCCCTTCTCAAAATTAAACCATTTTCAAGAAAGTTCCATGTTGAGAGTACTTCGATGGGAAAGGGAAGATGTGATCCGGTTAAGGCTTGGCAATTTAGTTTCCGTTGTCCTTAGCTTTATAATAATTCTTAGCTATGGATGTATTTTACCCAGTGCAAACATTTGAAATGTATGGAGAAACCTAATACTTGTTTACTTTTGGTGCTGGTTTGGATTATGAATTTGAATTATGCTATTTTGGTTTTGGGTAGTTACACTAGGCTCGTTTGGTTTTCCTTGGCCTTTTACGTAATTTATAGTAGTTTTAGGGAGAATATTGACTAAAATTAATGTTACAACGAATGCAGATTAAAGAGCCTCAAGTTTGCCGAAGACATATTTGAATAAAGGAAAAGGTTCATGTGATTGACCCTGACCAGAAAGAATGAAGAAGGGGGCATAAAACCTTTATACAAGCTAATTGTTTTTATCTAAAGTATCTTGTAAGAAAATAAATGCAAAAGTACAAAAGCAATCGTAGTTGTCAAGTCACTAAATACTTAGTCAGGCCTTCACATTGCCTACTACCATGACAAGTAGTCTATTTGGTTGTCTCGGTTCCATCCAAGCCACTTGCAAAAGATTGATCTCTAGAGCAACCAGAAGAGTGGACCATCTTTTACTTTGCCCATCCTATACTTCAGGTTCATTTGCAAATAAACGCACAATATTAGTTTATTTTGTTTTCACTTTTTATAGAAAGAATACGAATAACATGAGACAATTGGGCATGAGACCAGCAGCTGCAATGTACGGAAATAGTAGAAGATATGAAGACATGTTCCTCAATGTAGATAGTTTGGTGACTGTTTGCTTTCACTTGCATAGTCTACTACTTGTCGGTACTACACTTTGTTAGAAAAGACCTTTAATGATGAGATCGTGTCATTCATTGGCGAGACAAAGGATCTCTTGATATAAAGGACTTCTTATGTGAGTCCTGAACCTGTTGGCTAGTAAAATAGCTACGCTGAGTAGAAAACCCTATCTAAATGAAAGGGTGGTCTCTTTTATTTTTCTTCAAATGGATTATATGTGCTATGAAACTTCTCTTGGTCATATAGATACAATTTTATTAAAAAGATGCAAGTACTTCTGCAATTATGAGTCTTATGGACTTTGGAATTTATTAGTATTTTTCTTATTTCTTTTTTGGAAGGGTGTCGCAGGCTATGTCTGGACTAATCCCGATGAATTTTGACAGCAAGAAATCAGCCGGAAAATTTTGGCTGCAAGAAATCAGCCCTCATAAACTCAGTGGCCATAATTGTTGTGTACGCCTGGAATCGAACCCTGAGCAGATGGGATGTTCCACCACTACGCCATAACCCTTGTGGTTTATTCTTTCTTTTCATCCAATTAACGATTTCACAAGTCCATGAAGCATGTGATTTTGTACCTTCTAAAGTGCTCCTAGACCCCATATGGAAGGACTTCTATACATTTAAAGCATGCACTTTGCTCAGTTGTACAAAGAAAATACTCTTATTAACTTCAATTGTCCATGAGAAACAATCTCATCACAATCGTCTAAGTGTAGATATAATGAACCAACATTTGACTAGTAGAGAAAACCATCTTTAGTACAAATGTACAATATCGCAACATTAGCTCTGTTGTCCTGTCTTCTTAAGGAAAAACTATTGTCCCTTGAAAGTAGAACTGTCACCTCACTTCCTAGCAATGTAGTTCTAGGTCAACATTTAGAATTTTAAAATAGTGATCTGTTAGGATCTTGGAGACTATAGGTTACCTTCCTAGAAATATTTCAGTATGTGTTTGTGTATAACAACACAATTAAGAGAAATGATAAAATAAGTGCAATGTAACGGGATGTTGGGTACAATAATAAATAAAAATTATACCATAGCCTACCTCATTGGATGCATTTCTTGATCTTACAAATGCTTCAACTATAGATTCAAGTCCTTGATTATCTGTACCACCTTGGTTGACATGAGGGAAGGATGTCAACAAATTCCCAGGATGTGACACAGGTACTAAATTTTCTCTTAGGATCACACCTGCATAAAAAACACCACTTATTAGGAGCTTGAAAGAACTGAAAGGGTGATGTGTGAGGTGTCAAAGTGCCAAAGTAGATTACAACACCATTTTAGATTGTGTAGATTATGATGCCATCTGAGATTGTTTTTATTTCACTGCATTTTGTGATTAACGTAACTCTTGCAAAGTACTCCTTCCATCCCTTGACAAAATTGCTAAGTTTGATTGGTACGTGATTTAAATGGAATCATCAGACAATTTGTTAGATATTTAATATACACTTCGATATAGAAAAAACAAATGTATCATGTTGACCCAAATGGATACCATCAATTTTTCTGTAATGAATTTAATGGGTAATAGGTAATCAAACTTGGAAACTTCCCAAAAAAGGAATTGCTAGAATTTTCAAGGGACATTCCTGAAGAAAAGTGTTGCACTTTTCTAGGGACAAAGGTAATATTTCTTTACCTTTTAGTGGAAGTGTTGCACAAATTAAAAAATTCAGTGCGATAGTTTTTGTGCCTTTACATTCGAAAGACTGAAGTGTGCACAAGTTCATAATCCTGCAGTCTTGGACCATGGGCTCAAAAAGACTACAGTAGAAAGCTATATCCAACAAATTTTAAATAAATGACTTGATTCATATTTGTTCAGCAAAATATGTATTTTGACAACTTACTGCTTGTTTTCTTCATGCAAATAACCACATAGCCTAGGTTCGACAAACATAGCTAAAGAACCCTATGTATACTTGTTTATCATATGTAGGTTCAGGAATTGAATTATGACAAGATTTCTATAGCAAGGGTTACTAAACAACAAAGGCACTCATCCATCAGGTTCGAAAATTAGCAGCCTAGTAGTTTTCCAAGCTTTCCTAGCAATGCCAAAGAATTAGGTAAGAATGAAGAGCTGGTCATCTTGCTATATATAAGGTTATGGGTGGCACACCAGCGGCATAGTTGATGATTAGAATCAAGTAAACAAGGAATCAAGAAATGGAAAAGAGAATGTTTCATGCTCGTACCAAAACTATTATCAAGAGTGAGCTCCTCAATCATTTGTTCATTTAATGCATACTCTCTTGACTGAGTAAGACCACTTTGGTGCAACATGATAGCTTCATCCTGGAATAATCAACATAATTGATTCATAAATCAAAAGTGGTATGAGTAGATTCATCTGATAACCAACACCAAACAACAATTTCCTCAAATATGTTACCCTGTAATATGAACCCTCATTATCCAACGAGTTTTTCCTTTCCCATTCACTGAAATCAGAATTTATCACCCACCATTCGAGCAAAAGTGGATTAGGAACATCAATTTCTGACAAAGGTAACATAAGAGAATAAGAACCATGGTATTAGTACCAGCCGTTAAGACCATGAATAACAAAGTTTGTGGAGAAAAAAATACAGAGAAAGTAAAGGAAGAGAAGAAACTAAGAAGCATTTAGGCATAGTGATCGTCCAAACACAAACTTCGTAGGAGGTTTTTGCGTTACATAGATATCTCTATAGTTACAAAGACAACCAAACACTACATCATCTCTCCCTATAAAAATATATTCTGAGATACTATAAAAAAAATTATTCAAATCTTATTTTTTGTCCATTTATGTGTGGTCACCTTCCTTTGAAAAGTAACAATTTCAAAGAAAGGTTTGATTTAGGCATCGCATCAAGTAACAATTTAGACAGAATACACATGACCTCCAGGCATATCTATTTTCAAGTTAATTTTGTGATGCATAAAAATGCTCATTCCCCAGGGTCAATGGGGAGAATGACCGTAAATGAGATTTCAAATAGAAAACTAACCCTTTCAATTTTATTTTATTTTTGCACTCAATGACCTCCAAACTGTGCTATTCGAAAAATACCCTTAATGATCGTGACATGACAAATACAATGTCTAGCCATCATGAAACAATGATGAAGGAGGTCATCGTAGGTGGTTATCGTCAAAGGAGTTTGTTAAACTCGTCAAACTCGTAATAACATCGTAGGTAATAGCTTCCTAGGTGCTCTGAAAAATCCCTGTTGTTGGCTTTTCTCTGTTGCTGCTGTTGGATTTGGAGCGAAGGATTGAAAATGATAGGGAGAGGAGGATGCCAAAAGAAGCAGTTTGGCTCCAGATGATATCACATCTGCATCTGCTTCCCTGGAACCAGATCTATATTCAGAATACCTTTCAAAAACTGGTGTCTAATACAGACACAGATACCGATACTACACCCAAAACAATCACTTCATCCGAAAGGGAAGGGGAACGAATAAGGATTGTAAAGAAGAAATCTGGAGAAAAGGGGAAGGTGTTAGAAAACTTTGCTTGGAATCCACTGAAAGTCGTTTATCACTTTCAGATTAAAGTATTTCGACGGTACAATCGAAATCTCAATCGGATAAAATTCAGTGATTGACAGAACTTCGAATCCAAATTGTTATGAAATATGTGTACCTCTTTTCTCCCCACGAAAATGACCAATTCCCAGATTGAAAAAGTGCGAAAACTGTCAAAAACGGCAGTTTTTTGCACCCTAAACCGGGTTTAAAAACCGGGCCAAAACCGGGTTTTAAATCTAAAATTCGGATTTCTGCCACCCCTTGGACCCCGCCACCGGGGGCGCTGCCCCTGGACCCCCGTCGTTTAGGAGCTTCACCCCTAAATCAATATAAATTCAAACAAGTGTGCACTCCGCACCTTCCTTACTTGTTCGATATTTATCATGATTACATTGGTCAACAAATTAATCCTATTACACTTAAATGATATTAGTGATACAAATCACCAACAGAAGGGAAGGGGGAGGGGTTAGCGGGAGTTATATCAAATTCAAAATCGAGGAGATAACTATGGGAATGATTATTTTTGTTGATTACGAGGGTTTGGGTAGTTTAGTCATTTGCATCATGTAAAATAGAGGGAAGTCAGTTCTGCAAAATGAGTTTMAGGGAAGGTCTTTGAGCGCAATTCCTCCATCCCCATCGTTCACAAATGAATCCATCAAGCACTTGCATACAAGAATGCAAGGTTTAACCTTTAGATTAAGAAATCGTGCTTCTGCAAACCCTGTCTGCTTCCCATCCAGATCGTATGTGGCACAACAAAGGCACTGAATGCTTCCACTATGCAAGTACCAATCATCAGGGCTAGTACCTTACAAATCACAAATGTACTTACACCGTATGTGATGATAAAAAAAAGGTTGCTATAGCCTACAGGTAACATTCCTCTCGTCAATAAACATCCCAAAGTAAGTACCAAAGTGAAACCTAAATCAAACCTTTCGAATACAATGTAGAAATCAATTACTCCCAAATTTAAAATAAAACCTCCACAACCACAAAACAACCGAACAACACACGCAATTGTCTAAACTTCATCATTCAGTAAAATAAAATAATCAAATCCAAAACTGCTTGCCTGACGGAGACAGCGGATAAGCACGGGCCTCTGCTTCTCGGCGGAAAACCTCCGCCGTTTCATAGAAACCCTTATCGATGAAATAACCGTAAAGAAAACGCTCATACCTAGAGCGAAAAACAAAAGGAAACAATCAATCAAACAACATCCTCCATACAGAGAATGTTTGAGAAACGAAAACTTACACTTGATTCTGATCGAAAGGATTGTCCATGGCTGGTGTTGTTGCTATGATGAATGAACGAAAGAAGGAAGAGGCAGGAGAAGTGATGTAAGTTGGCAATGACACTTGTGAACGCATGTTGCAACAAAATTTGATTGTTCACCGACCTTTGCAAAAAAAAAAAAATTGCCGCTAAATTTATTTTTATTTTTATTATTTTCAAAACACGGCTATAAAAGAGTTTTATGATACAACGTATTAGGTTTAAGAGGCATTAAGGGATATGTTTGTTTTTAAATTTTTGAGGATATTTAAACCTTTTAAATTTTTATTTTAGAAATAAAACAAATACTTTTAATATCAAAACATCTGAACAAATTATGTTTAAAATGTATTAAGAAATAATTTTAAAAAAACATACCAAACAAAATAAAAAACTCATTCAAATTTAATATTCTTATGGCAAGTATCTATCGGTGTTGATACATGTGATGTGATGGTTTCAATTTGACTTGAATCTTTTTTTCCATAAAAGAACCTGAAATTCTTCCTGATTTCCGATAAATGACTATTTTGGGAAAACTCCAAAAATAAAAAAAAAATAAACTACAGATTTGGTCCTTATAGTTTGGTAGTTACAACACTTTTAGTCTTTGTAATCTAGAAATTACAAATTAGCAATTATGGTATGTAAAAATGATCGGATTTAGTCCTTGCCTCTGACGGCCGTTAAAACATTTATTTAGTTTTTTTTACTTAATAAATAATCGAATATATATATATATTATTACATAAACTAAAAATGTAATTTGAGCGCGCACACATATTCCAAAACTTATGAAGGTATGAAACCCATCATGACTTCAAAAATACCTCCCATGATCATGACTTCTCTGAGAAAATAGGGACGGTCAGTCACTCCTCTCTTCTCTGGCAATACAAAGACGATTGCTTCTCGCTTCTCCTTTCTCTGGCAACATGGGTATAACACTCCTAAAATATGAGTAAATTTAAATGATAAAGTCGATACAAAATTATTACATAAATATATAAATAACCCAAAATGGGAAAATTGTTAAACGTTTACAACCCAAATGATTAGATCATAAATAACAACCTGCTAAACCAAACTATTATAAGTTCATATTGTGAATGAATGTCACTATCTTCATCAAAAAATCCAAAAAAATATAACGCCGACTGATAAAAGCCATAAATCCCAAAAAGTGCATCTATCTGCATCCAATGACTCGGCTCAAGCCTTCGGAGCTCCAATGCTAAGAGATTTTGATATACATGTCATTTAAGAAAAAGTGTTAGGTTTAAAGTCTAATGAAATCAAAAACTTTATAAATAATGCAAATTAACCAGTAATGTAAAAGTTTATAAACTTAATCAAATCCCAAAGTTCACATAATTCAAATAAGGGTCATAAGGTCCCAAACACATCGTATGATGACGGGGGAGAATCGATTTATGTTGATCATGGCGAAACACAAAAGTAGGCCATGGATCTATGTTCTAGAGCTACTATTATGGAACATTGATAATTGAGTTCAACCACCATGGTCTATAGTTAGAGTCACCCAACGAATTAAGATATGCTCTTTTCTAGACTCAAATTATTACGAGTCACACGATCATTAAGTTCAATCACCCATGACCCATGGTCAATAGTTTGAGTCCTCTGTTGATTCATTACCCATGTCTAACTATTTAACAGGAACCAGAACCACTATCCCAACTAAAATACATAAATTAACTTCTATGTCTATGGATTCATTGCATTATAATCTAAACATACTCATGCTATAAAACAATTTACTATAATCAGACACATAGTTTCCAACACCATTTATCAGCATTAAATCATTAAACTCAAGGTTTACCCAAAAGGGATTCAAAGCTTCTTGACCTCAAGTACATGTCAAGACCAAGTAATATAACCAATAAGATTTCCATACCCAAACATTTCATCTCCCAAATACTTGTAACTTTCCTTTCCAAAATGCGACCATTTTTCATAAAATACCTTTAAGTATGCAAAAGTCAAGGATAAAAATCATGAAGTTTCAAGTAGGGGTGTACAAAAAATTGTCAACCCGTGAAACCAGCCCAACCCAACCCGCTAACAACCCAATTAAACCCAACCCGCCTAACCGTCAAACTGCTAACCTGTCAATTAGGAGGGTTGAAATTGGGTTGGCCCTAGCTCAACCCGCCTAACCCGCCAATCCGCCACTAATATATTTTTTTTTATAAAATTTTATTTATATATATGTTTATTATGTATGTATGTATATTTATTAATATTGTATAAATTTTATATAATTTTTAATGATATTATGTTTGTATTTCGTTTTAGTTAAACGTATAGGTTATCAAAAGAGATCCATGATCAAAGAATAATGACAAATAATCTGATTAATAAGATAAAATTATTAAAATCTTTTTTGCAGCAACAACAAATTGATATGTCAGAGAATATGAATGATATTGATAGATATTTAGTTGACGAATCCATCACTCTAAATACTCGTCATTTTATGTTGTATTTTAATGAAAAGAAAATGCTTAGTTAAAACATTTCACTACAACAAGATTAGATCTTATAGGATGCCTAGAATGTTTAAGCATCCTAATATGATACTTTATAGGACGAAACAAGAAAAATGTTTTATCTAAAAAAGTTGCAATATGTTTATAGGGTGATTTTGAGCGTCTTAACAAATTCTATGACGCCTTTAAAATAAAATGTTGTATTAGTTATTTTACACGTCACGACTTGAAAAAGTGTCATATGAACATAGGTGTCCTATAAATAGATGAGTTGACGGGACACTTCTCAAAATATTTCTATAAAATAACTAATACGACGTTTATTTGAAGATTATTCTAAAACACTTGTTGAAACGTCCAAAAACGTCCTATAACCATATTATAACATTTTTAAATAGAACACTTTACAGTGTGGTCTATAAACTTAAGTTTTATGAATTATTTCATTCGTCAAATTTTATGTAACTACTAACCCGCCAACCCAATCCCAACCTGCCTGGGTTGAGTTGGGTTGGGTTATACTTTTAAATGGGTTGGGTTGGGTTGGGTTGGGTTGAGATTTTTCCAAACCGTCATAATTGGATTGAGTTGTAAAATTGTTGTAAACCGCCCAACCCAACTCGCGTACACCCCTAGTTTCAAGTCCTAAAACAACATTTATGTACTTTAAACACATTTTCATAACATACTTGAAGACCCAAAATTAACTAGTAAAAAGGGTAAAACCCCTAATTCTTCCAAAAAAACCCAAAAATATCAAAATCCAAAAATATGTATATACACTAAATGAGATGTTTTAAGAGACTAAAATGAAGAATTATGACATGTATAAAAGTTTAGAAACGGTTATAATGAAGTTACACTAGGTTTTCAGTAAAACATAAAAACTAGGTCAACAATGGTGGAAAAGATGGAGATTTTGGACTTCCACCCACATGGCTTGAATCTCTAGCTCCAAATCTCTTAAATAAATTTGAGAAAATCGATTTTGGTGAAGCAAATGCTCTTGGACCGAAAGTAAATGAAAGAAAAGTGAGTTGGTGAAAGAGTATATGAGAAGAAAAAGCAAAAAAAAAAAAAAAAAATTTGGATTAAAAGGGTTGCAGGCCCGTACCCAAGTTGTTGCACTCTTTTTGCCTATGTTTCACGACCGTGAAGCTTATTTGGTGTAGCCGCGACTGCGAGCCATTCACTTTTCCACCCTTTTTTAGATTCTTGCTTAATGCGTACCCAACCGAACTAAAATTTAAAATACTTCATCAAAGCTATTATTATAAGGTTAAAATATATACGAAAACTTGACGTTATATTTACCAAAAATCCGGGTGTCACAATAGGGTCGATCTCCTCTCCCTCCTCCATCTTGATCGATCTCCTATTTCAAATATGATGAAACCTATAACATCATGTTTTCTATTGCCTTGAACATTTACCCTTCCCCCCTACACCGAGTTGTTCGTGGCCCCTTGCATTGAGCCATCCGTCGCCCCTTCATTTACTGTCATATCTCTTTTTAGGTGTTGTTAATAATTCAATCTTTGAGGTATAAATCTATTTTATTTGGGGATGGGTTTGATCTTGAGTAAACTACAATTTAGGTCTCTATGGTTTTTATTAGGTAGAAGACAAAAAATGGTAAAAAGACTAAAATATCCCTTATCTAACGGAATGTTTAAACGGCCATTAGAGGCAGTGACTAAATCCGACCATTTTTGCATACCACAATGGCCAATTTATAATTTCAAAACTCTAACTAAAGCATATGGACTAATTTTGTAGTTTACTCAAAATTTATACTATTGGGAGGGCCAGAGATGTAAAAAAGAGCAATGTGAATATTAATATATAATTAAATAATATACTAATATTATTATATTAAAATATTGTTGTTATATTATCAAAAGCTGATACTGTTACATTTGTGTGAACGTTTTTACTTATAAAAAATATATTTGAAATTAATATTCACAAATTTATCTAGACATATAATTTAATAGGATATACGTTACATTTTTTTTTAAGAAAATATGCTTTACTTTGATTTATTGTTTGGGTTGTTATGCATTAAGAAAATTTAAGGATGATTTGCTTATCTTTTAATAGTTTCATTAAGAGACAACTTTTAAATTGTTAATAGAATGAATTTTATTTGGTAAAAAAAGGTCCGTCTCTTAATAGTTTCAAAATACTTTGAATGATTTTGTATATTGGGCATCAATTAACTATTCAGCGTCCTAATTTCATTCTGAACAATTATTAAACAATTATATTTTATTTTACAATATATCATGAGACTTTTTTAATCATTCTACACCAAATCATTCAATAACTGCTAAACAGCTTCTTAGACGAATAAATTAAGATTAATAACTAGTTATATTAAATTACAAAAATACTTGAGTTACATAGATAATAAAAATTTGAAATTGAAAGATATAAACTTCCAAATTTGAAAATCAATATATACATATATATATATATATATATATTATTAACATTATTAATATTTAAATTTATTAAATAATAATAATATTAAATATTTATACTGTATTATAAAGTATTTGACAAAAACTGTTAAAAA